TATGCTGTTTTCTTTAGAATTTTATGTGGAAATTTGGATAAAGGTAAAATTAAAAATTTGGTTTCATTGTGGTTGCTAACTAATTGTTTATTGGTTGTGTTGATGGTTACGGCACCGCGTTTTCAATTGTCTGTTTTCACCAAAGTAGCGGCCGTAAAGTAAGAGCGGCCGTAAAGTAATAAAGCAAATGCGGCCGTGAAGTAAATGCGGCCGTAAAGTAAATGCGGCTAAATAAGATATACTTTAGGGATGATATTGAATCCGTAAAACTTTTTTTTTTGTGACAGTCGCCTAAAATAATTATTTTTTGGTTCTTATGAGTTAGGGCCGGTTTATTCACCTTCTGCTAAACTGTCAGGTATGCAATCTGACGGATATAAACGTAATATGTAATCCTATTGGTCAGATAGTTATCCGCCGACCAGAATTAAAGAATAGTCAATTTATCTTGCAGATAGTTACTAGCAAGTTTATCAGAGGATAAATAAACCGGGCCTTAGAGCCAAATTATGGACCGATTGATAATGTCTTTGGCTGGTTACCAACAGGATAAATTTGCCAATGACATTACCGCTCGGTCCATAATTTGGCCCTAGGTTTGTCTTTTGACGGATCAAACTGAAGGGTGTGGGGAAATTCCTTCAAAATCGTTGTGTTTTTTATATGAGCGGCGAGCGAAGAGTTGGCACCAGGGTCCTTATTCTTGAAACAGAGGAGCAGCGTTCCCAGATGAACGAATGTTCCGTCTTTCTCAATGATATACAAGTGATAATATATTAAGTAACAAAGACAGAACACTCGTTCTCCTGGGAACGCTGCTCCCCTGTTCCAAAGACCAAAAATAAGGACTTTATTGTTGTGTGTGTGTTCAAATTTTTACTAAACATGGATCAAAATGCCCTCAATGAAATGAGTATCATAGATTTAATTGATTTGTATAGACAGTTTCCTTGTTTATGGCGCATAAAGTATTCAAACAGAACCTGTCACTGCTAATAATTTTCTTCTGTCCATCGTGCGTGAACGACTGAAGATAAATATGGGATTCACATAGTGTGTGGGCAAAACAGCTCTACGAATTAGCACGAATTTCCGAATCGCAGTGATTCGAACGAATGGAAAATAACGGAATGTGGGGCTTTAGACCAGTGGTTCCCAAACTGGGGGGCGCGCCCCCTTAGGGGGCGTGAAGCAACATTAAGGGGGGCGTAAGTCGTCTAAAAAATTAATACAAATTTTGAGCTTTAAAATATAAGAAATCAGTTGAAATTTAAAAAAAGATGTCTACAATCCGGCAACAGCGCATACCTTAGCCAAAGCAGCTTTGCAATGCGATCATTGGGTACATTCAGGCGGTGCCAGTGGCTTAGTTCAGCCACTCAGCAGGAACTTTATTCTCAAAACAGGGGAGCAGCGTTCTCATTGAAACGAAGGTTCTGTCTTTGTCGTCCGGCATAACACTGACAATGACAGAGTAATTGTTCTTATGAGAACGCTGTTCTTTGGTTTCGAAAATCAAGTTCCTGCTGAGAGGCTGAGCTAAGCCGCTGGGACCGCCTGAATGTACCCATTGCTACAGCGTACGCTCGCTGCCCACTGTCATGCCCATTAGGCCATTCCTCCTCTTCCAAAGTCCAGTTCAGACGAATACAGTGAAAACAATTCTTTTTTTTTTGTATAATGGGGAAAGAAAGGGGGGCGCGACCACTTCTTGATTTCAGAAAGGGGGCGCAAAAGAAAAAAGTTTGGGAACCACTGCTTTAGACAAACAGGGCCTCGCCAAACCACTCTGCCCCCAGGTCCAAAATCTGAAGTTACGCCACTGCAAATGGTATCTACTAGATGAAATTGTTGAGATTCACAGGTATATTTTTTGACCCATAGAACCATGTAATGTTTTTTAGTTATTTTTCTTCGCCATAGACGATGCTCGGCCAGCAATTTTTTATTATGTGTACATGTACGTTATATTGTTAAATTAAAATCTTTTTATTAAAAGCTGCGATATGGCTGAAGGCCGCTAGAAGAGAGGATCTTCTAGAGAAAAACTTCATAAATTATAAATTGTGCGAGGATCATTTTGTTCAAGGTTCCGTATACTCAGGGCCGGCTTAAGGGGGGAGCGAGATGGGCGGCCGCCCAAGGCGGCACGATCCAGGGGCGGCAAATTCCATCCATACAACAATAAAAATTAATGGAAAATGGAACAACGACTCAAAAAAAAATAAGAAATATAAATCGAACAGCGAACCAATTATACAGGGTTTTTGGTATATCGATAGGAAGATTTCAATGAGTGATAGTTGGCGTCATTTGGAAGCTGTTTGACCATATTTACCCTCATGCAAAGTTTCGCCGTTTTTTGAGATATCGCCATTTTAGATATTTTGAATCCATGTATTTTAACACATAACTTGGGCTACATATTTTCTGTATCAATCATTCGAATGATTTTCTTTACGAGTTTTTCGAAAGAGTGCATATCAGGAATATCGGAAAAAAAATTGAGAAAGGTTAAAATGGTAATTCCAAAAAAAAAAAAACAATATGTTTTAGGAACAATTCAAATATTTCCCAAAAATATCTAAAAATGCTGTTATCTCAAAAACGACAAAATTTTGCATAGAGGTAAATATGATCAAACAGCTCCCAAATGACCCCAACTAGTGATAGGAAATTTTCCATGAGTAATCATTAAAAACTTCCTATCGATGTACCAAACACTGTATTATAGAATAGGTGTCATTTTGGACAATTGAACCAGCACAGTGGGCATTTCAACTTCTTATATGATATCCATTTACCACAAAAAACTTCATCTAGAACAGTTATCGGAATATTGTAAATTTTATAATATGTATGTTCTTATGCATGACAATTCTTTCGATGTCAATGTCGCATAATTAGCTGATGAACTATCTGTGATAGACGTTACTGGAGCCCAATCAGAATCCTTTTGATGTGTTAAAATTAGCACTCCAACTGGATATTGCACCGAATGTTGTTGTGGCCCTCAGATCCTCAGAATTTTATTACCATTGCCCATAACTCTTGCAAGTGTTAAGAAAAGTTTCTCTAAATTAAAATTAATAAAACCGTATTCAAGTTAATCTTGGCCAAGAAGCAGTATGAGCATGTTAGCAATGATTGCTATTTAAAGCTCGAAAATATCTTAAATGATATCCCAATAATTTTAATGAAAATGTACCTACTTACCCTAGTGACACAAAATGTACGATGGAAGTTTTTTTTAAAGTCCGCTTAACGTCGAAACATCCGAGGACTGAAATAGAACATTGTATAAACGTTTGCACAAAATCATTTTTAAAAACGACGAAAAAAGACGTTCGAAATATATTCACAAAACGTCCATAATCATAAAGTTTTGAAAGAAAAGTTTTGGAAACTACTGTTTCTTCTGTACGTGGTAATGTCCATATCCGAGTGTTTTTAAAAAGGTAAAGAAAGGATGTTCTTTAGACGTTTGATTAAGTTGTTTTCAAAGCCTCTGTTAGGAACAATTGAAGAACATCAATTACGGAAATTAGTTCGAATAAGACGTTTTTAAAAGGTTGTTTGTAACTGTGATATTTGCACTACCTATAAAATAAGTCTATTGGATGGTGTTGGATACTTTGAAGGAAGTCCAGTGAATGTTCATAGAGATTAGAGATCTTTGAAAATCGTCCTTTTTTGTTTTCAACCGTTCGTATTAAAGCATTTTTGAAGCGCTCATTTTCGACGTCTATATGACGTTTGAAGTAACATTTGCACCAAATAAAAATGCACCTTTGGATATTCTCAGCTACTTTTACTGACGTTTTTGAAACGTTCTGACGTCCGATAGGATAATTTTTTGAAACGTTTCTGTGCTATTAGGATATATTTACATAATGTATCTGTTGATTGTTGCCAAGAGCTTGGATTGGCTGACTCTCACTTTGTTTGTTATGTTTCTTGTTTTCTTATGTTAGTTTTTTTTTTTTGTGGTTACCTAAGTTACATAATATAGTATGTGGTTTTATTGCTATGATGCTATGCCTTACTGTTTCGTGTAATTCTTTTTTGTTTCTACAATTCAAGATCTCTCACATTATCCCTAGGGGGGCGATGGGATGGGGCGGCAAATTTACTCATTACCCAGGGCGGCAAAATACCTAGAGCCAGCGCTGCGTATACTCAACTTCGAGAGATACACGACTCTTGCCGGAAGCCGTGCCGACAATTTTCTGCGGTCCACCAAAATTCGACGAAGTTACCGCAGAAGTTGTCAACTTACCAGGTTATAATAATTTATTGTTTATAGTTTTCTATAAATTATAATTTTCTAACACAACTAACTGTGTTTATGCTATGATTTATTCGTGTGAAAATATTTCAACTCAATAAGGGACTGTGATAAACCCCAGACTGATCTATGTGATTCTAGTGGAATTGTATGATGTTAGTCGCCTTTGGGAGTGTTTCATCAGAAATTAGAAATTCCAAGGGTTTGAATGTTGATATTGGGCTGACATTACTTTGACATATTGATGCTACGAAAACCTGATAACAGAGCTATTTGGTCACCACAGTACAATGTGTGGATTATCTAATTGTAGATATACCTTCTTCATGGTTTATAAAGTTGGGTTTGAAATTTGTTTATGTAGTCATTCAACTCTGTCTGTATCTAAGTCCACCCGAATAATAATGCGGGCAAAACCCAAACAGGTACATTATGTTAATGAGATGGATTTTATCTCTAACGCTGTAGCCGAATTGCGGTCGAACCATATTTTATGACCCACTTTGATACCTTCCGAATTATTATCAGAAAATATTTTTAATTTAGCACCCACTGGCATCGTAGTAAGACGATTATGGAGTTCGAAAATATGTTAAGTGAAAAAGGGCGTCCGCTCGTGGTTTTTGAAAATTATAAGTTTCGTAAATACCGCGTGTTAAAAACGACAGAAGAGGAAGTGTGGTGTTGCACAAGAAAAAATTGCAGCGCAAAAATGTATATTTTAAATTCCTCCTTTTCGCGAAAAAGTGGGGAGCATAATCATCAGTTGGAAGAAGCATTATTAATTCGTCAAAAGATTAGCAATTCCCTGAAGAGACAAGCTGAAGAACTATGCAGTGACAGACCAATGAAGTTGATACGAAGAGAACTGAAGGCCGAAAGTTTTTCAATTGATGTTATTTCCATGAAAGATATCCAATATATCCGCAACAATCTTTATCGTGCTAGATTGCAACAAAGGCAGAAATTACTGAAGTCTCCAGAAGAACTACAAAGTGCTCTAGTACAAATGGACATAAATACAAGTAAGGGTGAACGGTGAACCGTTTTTTCTTACTAACGATAATATGGAAAGTAATATAGTTAAAGGTATTTTCCTATACCTACCTTAAACATGGAACTTATAGGTATAACCCCAATAAAAATTCTTCCTAAAGTTTGTTTCACCAGACTGAAACAAATCAATCACGTCAAAAACATTCGTCGGTTCTTAAACAAGACGTCAATCATTTTAATTTGTCAAAAAAATTGAATGTGTCATATGAACTAATCTATGACAACCCTTTTTTGTCAAGTTTCAAGGTCAAGTATGAACCCTGGTGAAACTTGGTGAAACTAACTTTACAAATATCTACTATTCAGGCGTATGCAAATAATATCTCTCTATACCTGCAGTAATGGCGATACTTCTAGGAAATAATAAATATTCAAATGAAAATATTATTCAGAGCTGACATGGCTTTCTTTATCCACACCACTCAATAAACGATTATAAATTTTATTCCAATTACGTATTTCTTTCAGATGTAATCCCTTCAATGTACATACATCTCCAAAAAAAGGCATTAAAAAAATTAATTAATGAATCAGATTAATTAATGAAATTAGCGGGTCAATTCTGTGCACATCTGTAAGCAAATCTATACATTTCTATAGGCCTATAGACACTGCAAAACGCATCGATTGCCACACAGAACACTGCTCTGAATAAATTGAATACCAAAGAATATGTATGTGTTTTTTTTTTCTTGAACAAGAATAAGGTAGGAAGGTTTTCGAATAATCTCCCCTTTATATACAAAATCATATACATCCTTTTTTTGCCACATTTTAATTCAGTTAATTTATTTCTTTTCCAGTTAACAAACGTAGAAGAAAGTACATGGACGAGGATGATTCAACTAGTGATTACCTTGAACTCATAGAAATGCCAATAGATGATCGCCGAGCTTCTAGGTAAGTGTTAAATTTCTGTTAAAACTTTCTACAAGTGATCAGCCCCTTAATTATACGAAATTCTATTTTCAACTTATGTAAGTAAATTTGAAGATCAGAATCACCAGATATTTGTAATAAATAAAGTAAAAATAAACCAAAAATACTATCAAAACCAATACCTCTACCACAAACAGACAAATAACCAATAATAAAATAAAATAATCAATCGGGTTAAAAGACATTTTGTTGAACTAATTTTTTCAATGATTATTTCATTCATTATAGAATAGATCCATCAGACAACGTCATTTTTTGAATGAATTTTGTTTAAATAAGTGATTATTTCACAAGACCTTGTTTATCAGCGATTAAATTTTTGTTTACCTTTTTTGACAGAATTTTGATAGAAATTTTCTGACATTTTATAATAAATAGAACTCTTTGGATAGGATTGACGCCAACAATTCAATCCTAATTATTCAGGAAATAATCTAGCCGTATACCACTCGACCTATAAATTTAAATGGATTAAACTATCCAAATATTTTTTGCATAATTTTGCTTTTTGGCAAATAGTTTCATGCACAATAACTTTTAAATAAAAATTAAGTTATTGTGCATTCAACAATTTTCCAAGCAAAATCATGCTCAAAATATGTTGCATAGTTTAATCGATTAAATTTAAAGGTCTTGTGATATAATATATGATTAAATATACCATTTAACAAATTGAATTTTATTGAAATTTCCGCTTCCTTTATTATTCCAGGCACCTTCAATGCCAGTCAGACGAGAACATGTCGGATTCGGATTCCGTAATTGACATCATCAAACACGAAATTGACATCCCAGAATATGTTCCAGACAGCGGTTCCTTGCAAGAAGCCGAAACAATAATGATTAAACACGATGATGATGATGATGATGATAGTAGTCAGTCTACACAAAATATTGAAGAAATAAAAATTAAAGAAGAACCCATCAGTGAGCAAAATAATTTTGACGATCGGCATCCTGTAGATGTTTTTTGCAAAAGGGTGGCTTTATCATTGAAAAGTTTAAGAATGGATTTGTGCAACGAGGGTAAAATTCGAATTATGCAATTGATCTCTGAGCTGGAGCAACGCAATTCTTTGTCCAGTGAAGGCCCCATAGTATTTACCGCTGGAAGTTTGAACAATCACGCTGAACCGATTAGTACTGTAACAAATTTAGTTCCGAAAAAAGAACTTCACTGATATAAAATTCGTTTTTTTTTTTAATATTAAGTAAAGTTTCTTTTGTACGAAATTGATTGTTTATTTTTAGTCTAGGAAAATAGTCGAAAAATACATGTATTGCAAAAAAAAAATTCCTACCCAACTGAACTTTTCAGGGATGATAGGGGGCGGGTGGGTGATCATAAAACCGAAAATATCAAACATTCACCCCTTTGGCGTTTTGCGCTATAGGGGTTGAATGTGCGCCATTGGCCATTACTTGGTACCTATTGATTTTACAAAAAAATGTTTCAAATAAAAGATGTGCAACATTATTTGATCTACAATGTTTATCTAAAGACTTTTCTGATCAAGGGCCGTCTGTGGTCATAAGGGCCTTTCGAAATTTTATAATGAAAATGAAAAATTTTATCCAATGTGAAAAAATTTTCTACAACACATACAACATTTTTGCTTTATGAAATTTTCACTCACCCCCTGCCGTTTTTCAATAGAGGTAGTTTAAAATTTATTTATTTTTTCACAAAAAAAATTTCCTTATAAAAGTTTTATAAGATTACATTTCCTACAATTTTTCCTAATCAACTTTTTTTGTAACTCACCCCCATTCAGCGGGGGCACACTTCCCTTAGGGAAATTTTAGTTTTTAGGGGTATATATTATTATTTGTTTCTTCTCTCGCCTTTAGTGCAAAAAAAAAAGGTGCAATTAACATTGTATTAAAAGGATTTTTTTTTCCACCACCTTTTTGTTTTTACGGGTAGTTCGCCTATTTTCAACTTTACAAAAAAAAGTTATAGAGAAAAGTTGCTCAAAATAATAAAATGAACAAGTTTTTTTAATAATTTTTTTTTGTAAAGTTGAAAATAGGCGAACTACTCCTAGCAACAAAAAGGTGGTGAAAAAAAATCCTTTCAATACAATGTTAATTGCAACTTTTTATATGCACTAAAGGCGAGAAAAGGAAAAAAAAAAATATATACCCCTAAAAACTAAAATTTCTCCGAGGGAAGTGTCCCCTCGCTGAATGGGGGTGAGTTACAAAAAAAGTTGATAAGAAAAAATTGTAGGAAATGTCATCTTATGTAAAAAAATAAAAAAACTTTAAACTACCCCTATTGAAAAACGGTAGGGGGTGAGTAAAAACTTCATAAAGCAAAAATGTTGCATGAGTTGTAGAAAATTTGTTCACGTTGGTTAAATTTTTTTATTTTCATTATAAAATTTCGAACGGCCCTTATGACCACAGACGGCCCTTAATCAAAAAAGTCTTTAGATAAACATTGTAGATCAAATAATGTTGCACATCTTTTATTTGAAACATTTTTTTGTAAAATCAATAGGTACCAAGTAATCGCCAATGGCGCACTTTCAACCCCTATAGCGCAAAATGGCAGAGGGGGGAATATTCAATATTTTCGGTTTTATGATCACCCACCCTCCCCCTATCATCCCTGAAAAGTTCTTTTGAGTAGGATTTTTTTTTTTGAAAATCGACAATTTTCCTAGACTATTTTCAAATAAAATTATTTTTCATTCCTTCCTAATCTTGTTTTTTTATTCTGTCAACATATCTGTCCCCTGAATATTCAATAGACGTTTGATTAACCAATGTAGGATCCTTAAAAGCCGCCCACTACATACGCCCATATAGCATTTATTGCTGTTTTCCCTAGACAACCATGAAATACACAAACAAGCGAATTGCCTTTGATGTACCCATATATATAGATAGGCTTATCTGATTAAACGTTACGCCAAAGACGTGTATCTATTACAAACGGTTTGCTCACTTTGTGTTCTTGGTAATAGATGTCAGTGTCATGATACTTCTGATGATAGAGGTGGGTCTTTTTGTCTGGTTGAATTATTTAGTTGCGCTACTAGAAATATGGTATATCTGAGATAGGAATATTGATCAAAATAAGAAGGAATAAACTTGGTGAAATGAAAAGTATTTTTATTGTAAGTACCTGGGAACTCAATAAAGATAGGCCGTTTGGTGGTTCAAATAAAAGTTCGCAACCGGCTTCCGGCTTTCTCCTGGGCTAGCCAGGGTTAGTAGGTAGGTGAATACCACCCTTAACATTTTGAACTGGAAAAGGAGTTGAGTGATGAACTGTTGAAGGCCGCAAAATTATAATTCTGAGGATACCGAATTTGTTGTCTGTCAAAGACACTACAAGTACGAGCCTAGATGCCTAAACCCTAATGTTGAGGTAAATAACTGACAAAAGGAGTACAAGTAGAAGTAGACTGCTGGATCAGATGCGTGATGAGGAAATAATTAAAGAACAAAGTTTTAACCAGCCCATAAATAAGAAGACATTGGAAATACTGACAAAGGCCCATGTCCAAAAATGGACATATGGAGATTAGGCTTCAAATTGATGAATGAAACCTCTTCCTGCGTTTTTTTTCTTTCTTACTACTGTTGTAGGTTTTTGATAGAGGATGTAAAAACTGCGATTTTAGAATGGAAAGAATCTATTAGTGAGCGATTGGTTCTTGAAGCGACAACAACTTCTTTAGGAATAAATGTGAAAGTAGGCACGCGATTTCTGAGCAAGCTTGTTATTATTTATTATTCACCTATCTTTGGTCAATTACTTCCACTAAAGATGGTTATACCGAAATTCTCCTGATACGGTATGATATCCAGGCGCTGTAGAAATGGGATATGAAACTCCTATAAGGCTCGTAGACACTCGTAGAAGCTACAGGTGTTAATCCCAGACCACGCGTACATTAAACTTTCTAAATTTCTCAAAAAGCTGGAGAACATTCTGCTCCCACTCTAGAAAAGATTTTCCCACAATCACATCATCAAGATAACAAGCAGTGTTTTTCAAGCCACAAATTATAGTATCCATTACCGCCTGGAACTGAGCGGGCGCACATTTAACAGCAAAGGGAAGTATTGTAAGCAAATAAACCTTTATGAGTATTTATTACTAATAAAGGTTTTAATCTTTCCTCAACTTCAACCTGTGAATAAGCATTCGATAAGTCAATTACGCAAAAATATTCTCCTCCTGAAACAGCATTGATGACATCCTCGACAAGAGGTAAAGGATCAACTTATCCTCCTTTTCTGAAGATTTTAATGCATATGGAACTGTATATGCCTAATGAAACACTGGTGTGGCATTCTCCTTCAACACCAAACTTGCTTCAATGCCCTTAATAACTCCATTATCACTAAGTACATTTAGAAATTTCTTATATAATCTGGAAATAAAATCATTATCAATCAATGAATTACAACTATCATAACTGGGACATAATTTCAATCTCCCAGTTTTAACTAATATAGAACATTTTTTTAAGGAAACAAACGGGATAACAATAGAATTAGACACTGTTTCATTTTGTAGTTGCTGGAGCTTGTAAAATTTAAATCTTTCGGGAACAATTAATTTTGGTGGACAAAAATACTTCTTCGTAAGTATGATCTGTAAGACTCTTTGGAGCTACCAAGTTTTTTGCAATTTGTAGTATTGAAATAGCTCAATTTTCTTCCATTTGGTACCTCGTTTACTATAAAAAGATGGTTGATTCGGTCCAAGTAGCTTCTAAAACTAAAAATCAAAGCATAAAGTTCAATGAATCCAATTAACGCGGCCATTATTCAATCTCTCGCATCGTCGGCAAATGATATGTTTTAAAGAACTAAGTTAAACTCTTTAAACTGGAGAATTTAATTGATTTTTTGTAACTAACTGAAACAACTGATAATAACAACTGCATTCATAACAATAATGACTAACTAGATGTTTGCCTTTTAGGACTCGTATTTGTGTTCAGCGATACACAACATGATCCAGGTATCAAGAAGAGAGGTTTGAGATTGGTTTTAACTTCGACAAGGTAGTTGGGGAAACTCGAAGATCTCTCTCAACGCCACAAAAGTGGACACAACTTTATGTCTCAGCCCTGTGAATGGTATAGATGCTTGGGGCTCTTTTTCTCGAAGTGAATATATAAGGCTTTAATAAAAGATTTTTAAATTTTAAATTAAATTAACATAAAATTAGACCAGCTTTTACCTTTTTTATATTTGTCAATTTCACTTTTATGTCTACATTTTATTTTTCTAAAATCTTTCTGATGAAGCTAATAGTACATCGATCTTGAAATTTTGTAACTCATGTACACGCCCAACTTCCTGAGCGGCTTCATAACACCAAGTCGGACAATATTTTTCATGTCTCCACCCTGGGCGATGGGACATTGCTGCGCTAGCTCTTCGTGAAGTTGTCGTTCTGACGTCCCTAAGGAAGTTGATACATGTACGTGTAGTTTCAATGCCAATCGATTGTTTTTTACATTACATTAACGATATCACATTTGTCGGACAAAAACCATGCGGCTTTAGGGAAGGTCCGACACCCCCAACATGTCGCTGTGGCGTCCCTAAGGAAGTTGATACATGTACGTGTAGTTTTAATGCCAATCGACAGTTTTTTACATTACATTAACGATATCTCATTTGTCGGACAAGAAATTTGAGACAATCAATGAAAAAATTAAAATTAGTTTGCCTTAACGCAACATGCATATTAGTCAGTTTATTATTTACCTACTTTGTCAAATACCTTGGGGCCCTGTGTCATATTCCCTAATCTGTTTTTTTGATAGTTCTTCGAGCATTTACGGAAATTATTCAGTAAACGGTCATTCAAAACCACGCGTGTGAGAAAGAATGGATATTCAGTCGTGTTTTTTGTGCAATCTCAGGAGTGAAGATCCTGAATTTCGGCAGAAATTGATCAAAACGACTTTTGTTGTCCGACTGACTTTAATACTCATTTTATTTGTCCGACATTTACTGCACATGTTTTAAAAATACATCGTTATTCATAATTATTTTTGTCGGACATACATGTGTCAACTTCCTTAGGGACGTCACAGCGACATGTTGGGGGCGTCGGACCCCCCCAAAGCCACGTGATTTTTGTCCGACCTATGTGATATCAATAATGTAACATAGAAAACAGTCGATTGGCATCAAAACCACACGTACATGTATCAACTTCCTCAGGGACGCCACAGCGACATGTTGATGGCGTCGGACCTTCCCCAAAGCCACATGGTTTTTGTCCGACAAATGTGATATCG